GCATGCCAGTACTTATAAAGGTAAATTACAAATAAATGTAAAATTATCTTTAAAAAAAAAAAAGATTTACCACCTCAGAAACACAACGGGGGTTGCTATGAGTTGGAATCAACTCCACAGCAGTGGGTTTGGTTTTTTGTTTTGTTTATTGCCATTACATTTAGCAATATATGAGAATTGTGATTTATGAGTAATACTAGTACAAAAAAAATTCTTAAGGATTCTGTATGGTCTGGTATGGGAAGAGGTCATGTGGTGTGCAGGAGTGGGTTGTGACACCATGAGTCAGCACACTGGGTGGCATCAATCTACTGATGCCATGCTTGAGGCCACCATGTTTAAGTAGTGGTCAGTGACTCTGTGGGTCGGAAGTACTCAGCCAACTGGTGACAGTAAGGGCACCAGGAAAAGGCTGGGAGACACTGTTCTGGTCTGGGCTCTGTCCCCATCAAGATGGGTAACCCCAGGCACCTCCCTTCACTAAGCCTTGCTTCAGTTTCCTCATCTGTAAGATGAAGGGCTGGGCTGGAAGGTCCATAAGTTCTGTTATGGATTCAACTGTGCCCCCCCAATATAGACTGAAGTCCTGGGCCCTGTACTTGTGGATATGATACTATTTGGAAACAGGGGGTTGCTTTTGTTATGATAATGAGGCCATCCAGAGAAGGGTGGGTGCAAAACCTAATCCCTTCTGAGTTACAGAAAGAGCAGAATAGATACAGAGACACACCCCAGGGGAGAGAGACACCATGTGAGAAGCATCTACAAGCAAAAGAGTGCCAAAGCTCACTGGCAGGCACCAGAATGAGGAGACAGGCCACAGAAGGAATCTATGCAGCCAAAGCTCTGACTTGGACTATTAGCCTCCAGGCAGTGAGAAAATAAATTCCTATTTGTTAAAGCCACCAACATGTAGTATTTCTGTTACAGCAGCACTAAGACTAAGACAGGTTCCTTCCGAGTATCACAGGACATGTCATTCTGTGACACAAGCTGTGCAGTGCAAAAGGTCCCCCCACACCTACCACACTCCAGACCACCGGGCAGATCCCTGGATGGAGCAGTTTGCAGGTGAGCTTCCAGAGGTCTGGAGTCTGTAGTGGAGTTGCCTCAGCCCTGAGCTGTGAGTGTCCAGAACTCAGGGCAGGCAGCTGGCAGCTACAACCTGCATACCTCTCAGCCTCCTTGGGGCAGCATCAGGGGACCAGGCAGCTGTGTTTAGCTAGGGGTTTATGGCCTGTGTTCTGTGTCTTCCAGAAATGTGTCTGGTTTGTTGAACTGCACGTGTGAATCAAACAGAACCTTACTCACCTGTCTAGCCTCATCTTTTATTTCCTGTGGCACAACAGTTAAGTGCTCAGCTGCTAACTGAAAGACGAGTGTTTCAAATCGACTAGCTGCTCCACAGCAGAAAGATTTAGAGCCTTGGAAACCCTAAGGGGCAGGTCTCCTTTGTCCTATACGGTTGCTATGAGTCAGAATTGACTCCACAGCAATGGGTGGGAGAATTGGTGGGAGGAGCCCTGATGGTGCAGTGTTAAGTGTTTGGCCATTAACAGTTGGTAGTTCAAACCTACTAGCTACTCCTCAGAAGAAAGATGTGACAGTCTGCTCCTGTAATGATTACAGGCCAGAAAATCCTAAGAGGCTGTTCTACTCTGTCCTATAGGGTTGCTATGAGTCAGAATGGACTCGGTGGG